GGCCCCCTGGCTTGGTGCCCTACCACATCTCTCCTGGATGGCCCACAAGTTCTGGGCGGCCATGCACCTCCCTGTCAGCTCCCTTAGCGTCCCGTGTCTAGGCAGGGAAACTTGGACTTGCTGTTTTCTTTCATAGCTCGGGCAAAGGGAGCTTGCTGTTTGATTTCACCTGCAGATTCGGTGCCTGCCTCCCGCATCCCTCAGTCTCTTGTTATCCTGCAATGGTGTTAGGGACAGATTCTGCTTTCCGCCAGGCACGGCGGAATTCAGACCTGACTGGCAGGATGACCCAGCCCCTAGTGTACACGCCGCTTCTCCTGACACCGTCGTTTAAATGCTGGCTGTTTCCGTCTTGTTTGGGGACAGTCAGTCTTTCTAGTGGGTCAGGCAGGCAGGCAGAAGGAAATGATCCCCCTCCCTCTCCCCCTGGAAGTAGATTCCATTCGCAGTTTGTGAAATCTCAACAGCCCCCCCTAAATTAAAAATCAGAACCAAAAACCCTATCTGAAAGCCTCACAAGCCTCCCCAGCATCAGTGTCCATTGGCTTTCCTTGCGCTTCATCTGCAGTTCATGACACCGGCAGCATTTCCCTGAGGTGCTGGGGCATTGGATTGTTGCTTGGGGGAATGTAAATAGCGATGGAACAAGAGAAGTCTGATTCTCTGCTGCCCAAGGGATTTTGGAGGCTCCGCCCTACAAATCACACTCCCTGATAAGTACTGGAGCCAGCATCACTTCCTAGCCAGGCCATTCTCTTGAGGGTCTTGTTCATAATTCCCACTGGAAAATAGCTGTTGAGGCAATGAACCAACCACTATGCGATCCCTGATGAACAGGCATGTAGCAGCCTCTGACTCGCCAGGATGGTTCTCACTGCCACTGGGTGTTGATCGCAGTGCTCCTACCGCCTTCTGGCTCCACAGCAGAGCAGGCACGCTTCTCAGAGCAGGGGAGGGAGGTACGGGGCCACTTGTATGACGCGGTTATGGACTAGGAAAAGCCGGGTTGTGGCAAAGGGCTGTGGAGTATTTTAGAATTCGTTGGCAGGTCCGAGTGTCAGCAGCCACTTCAAGCTTAGACGGGAACCGCCAGACTCTGGACACCTGGGCATTCAGGAAGCCAGCTCTGGAGTTCTGGGGCAGGCCAGCTGCTGCTCACACACGGAGGCCCTGCGTTTGCCCATCTTTGCTGACCGCTGTGACTCGGCTTGCTCATCTATGACTGGAGGCAGTGGTCCTAGGCACGGCTTCATGGCCACCCTCTGAGCATCCTTGGTTCTCACCACATGGGCAGTGTGGTGAGTTGGACCCAGCACATAGTACAAAGGACTCCGAGTCCTAACTAAAAAATAAAATAAGGAAGTCAAGAAGAAAAGGTCCTTATCATCCCCTGAAGGGCGGAGGGAGCCCCCCTTCTGTGGGCTTTTGCTATGATGGTAGGGAATTTCCTGAACATTTTGACGTCGGTGCTGCATCAAACGTGTGGCACCATAGCTGACCTGAGACATCTTCGACGTCATAATGAGAAAACATATTCTTCAGCGCCTTGTAAAGAATATTCGGGCAAGAGTCTAAATCCCTGTGGAATTTTAATATTCCTTTTTCATTTCTTCCAGGTCAAACAAAGACTTTTTCTTTCTTCTTCTTCTTTCTGAGCACAAGAGGATGGTTGCATCTGTGGCTTCTTTTAATGTATTTATTTTTCTCATTTAAAAGGAAACTTATTTTTCAAGTGGGTCTTAAAATTTCGGTTTAAGCCTCAATTAATTCCGTGTAGCTTTCTGATCCAAGGCTGGCCTTGAAGCTCGAACTCAAAGAACGCTTGATTTTATTTTCTTGAGGCAGTTCAGTAACATTAGACCTGTTGTCTTCATTTGTCCCTTTTCTTTAATCTCCAGTATCCTGCATATTTCCATTGTCCCTCTGATTACATGCTTTTGTGAGACAATTACTGACTGCGTGATTGCAGAAAGAATTACAAAACATGCCATGAGCTCTCTGTAGGCGATTCTTGCCGATTTATTAGAACAGCTTAATAGTTGGGAAGTCCACAGAGAATTGCTTTTTGCTAGTTCCAAAACAGGGTCCGGGAGAGAGAGAGAAAGGGAGCGAGAGGCTCATGTAGCTAACCTCGCCCTTGTATTGTGCCCGAGTAGGGAAGCTGATAAGAGTGATTTCTTTTCCCTAAAGCCAATTAAGCATTTACATTTGGGAAAGGACGAGAAATTATAGCCTGGTTTATAATCTGTATACAATACTGATAGTGGCACTTCTCTGATTATCACGATGATTCTGGCAAGCAAGCATAAAGACTACTTGAAATTCCTGCTATGTTAGATGCCGGCGCAGATTTGAATGGTGTTGACCATAATTCTCCACCTGTCTGCCTTAATCAGTTTTTGTACGGGGCCTTTAATTGGGTTCCGGTCGCGCTTACAGAGCGCTAATCTGTTTGTAGGCGGTCTTCCTGGGGCATTGAGCTCTTCTTGGTCTCACTCAAAATGGCAGCTTTTCGGAAAATTAAATGTTTTCTGGAGATTTGTTTTCTCCCCCCGTTTCAATTCCCACGAATAAACTCCATCCCATATCAGGTGCTTGAGTGGCAGGTCTGGGCTTTGTTTCCCCTGGATTGGGAGCAGGGTCAGCAAAGGCACTTGGTAGTGCAGACTGGTATTCAGATGTCAGTGAGTCCACGAGGGACTGAATGAGTGGATTCTCCCCATCGTAATTGCCCTACTCGGTGCGTGTGAGTGGTCTGCAGAAGCAGCCATGGTCGGGCTCATGGTCAGCCAGCCTGTCACTCTTGTGTTCCTCTTTTCCTGGTGTGGTATGAGTTTCTGCTTTGTGCCCATGCTTGGCTTTTTGACCCCCTAGGTCTGAAAAATGTGATTTTGGCTGAGAAATTTTTTCCCCAAGCGTTTCAGTGACTAGCAGCAGTTGAAATTAGGGTCGGTATATGAGACAGGGTTCTCTAGAGAAACAAAACCAGAATGCTAGTAATTATATATATATTTATATTTATATAGATAGCTATATAACATAAGAAACAAACAATCAATAAAGTAGTACAAATGGCTCAGTGCAACTCACTCCCATGAGACAGCTGTGAGACACTGGCAGTCCTTCAAGTCTTGAGGGCCGCCCGGTAGTCCTCTGTAGAGCAATTCAGGCTATCCAAGCTCAAGCAGCAAACGGCAAGGCAGATCACCAACAGTCAGCCAGAAGACTGGGTCCGACAGTCCCCAGCTCAAGAGATGTATATTCCAAGAGTGTGGCAAAGCAGGTCTTGAAGGAACCTCAAATTACAGCGACGCAGTCCACGGGTTAGGTGTCCGACAGGTAGTGTAGCTTGCAAACTGAGGCACAGAACAAGCAAGGCAGCCACACACTGGTCTGATGATTAAAGAGCAAGAGACAAGAGAGGCAAAGCTCGCCAAGCCATTTATCGCTCCATCATTCAATTAATCCCACATGTGTTCATTGGCCATGTTGGCACAATAAACATAAACTCTCTCAGTCGGTATCAAAAAATCTTGGTTGTATGGAGATTGAATGGAAGAAGCATGGATGTGTTTGGATTACAGTGCTAGTGGACAAAATTGAAAGTACCACAGACTGCCAAAAGAACAGACAAAGCCGTCTTGGCAGAAATACAGCCCAAAGGCTCTTCAGAAGTGAAGATGGGGAGGCTTTATCTCGTGTTCTGTGACATGCTGTCAGGAGAGACCAGTCTCTAGAGAAGGATGTCGGCTTGGTAAAGCGGAAGGATAACAAAAAGGAGGAAGAATCTTGAAATGGATTGACACTGTGCTGCACTAGGCAGTGCTTCTTTCTGTTGTCCGGGGCTCGTTATGAGTCAGAATGGACTTGCTGGCACCTAACAACGACGACAACGTGGTCAATGGATGTCACAGTGATCCCATCCCTGTGGGGCTGCAGCGCTTAGAGGATGAGCATTCCTATAAGAGGAATGACTACCCGGGATTAGAATGAAGTCTGACCACGTAGCAGGAGAGAGGACGCGATGAGTTAAGTGACCTTAGCAGGAAGCTTGATACTTCTGCTAACTAGTTTGGGAATGTGATTGGGATTCCTTCCATGTTAGTCTGGGTTGACTAGAGAAACAAATCCAGAGACATTCATATGTGTGTAAGAGAGAATTTTATATCAAAGAGCAATTGTACGGTAAGAAAACATCCCAGCCCAGTCCATAAGTCTGATATTACCCCATATGTCGATACTAGTTCATAAATTCCTTTTTAGACTCATGCAGCCATGTAATGATGCCGAATGCAGGCAGATCATAGGCCAGTGGGAGGAAAGTTTTGTGGATCCGGTGGAGGTGGAAGCATCTCAGCACTGGCGTGGGTCTCCACATGGCTCTTCCAGCTCCAGGGCTCGGGCTCTATCAGTGTAGCTCCATGTAGCTTGTCAACAGGAAGACAAAGAAGAGGGAGAGTGTGTCTCTGGCCTCTAGTCAGCTATTTTTCTCCATCGTGCCTCCAAATGACATCATCAAGCTGCAACCTGATTGACAGGCTAGACTCCACCCCTTGGCAAGTTGACAGGGGATTATGTAACTGCCACACCTTCTGTTTTAGAGGCCAGCCTTTTGGAGTTTCATCACGCCTACTCAAATAGTAAAAATTGTAATCGCCATTTAAAGTCCGATTTTCGCAAGAAGTCAGTCGCGTGGTAGATACCTGACTGTACGCCATATGCCAGGTGACGTGGCGTCCACTGCAGATGCTCACTGGAAGGTCTTTATGAGAATTGTAAACCTAAATACGATGGCTGAGTGAGTGAATTCGATTCAGGGAAACACAAGACCTTAGGACTCCTGGGTGGCGTGGCACACGTGGATGGCACTTGTCTGCTCACGTGAAGATTGGCAGCTTGAACCTGCCCAGTGGCACCCTGGGAGAAAGGTGCTGGAGTCTGCTTCTATAACAATGTCAGCCATATAGAGGATTCTGTTCGGTAACACCTCAGTCGCCCCGAGTCAGAATGGACTCCAGGGCGATGCAGGAGTTAGCGAGTTAAGCACAAGATGTAGATCGGCACGGTGTGGATAAGTATTCCAGAACAGTCCTTTGCTCTTCGGTCAAGCTGGCCTGCAGAGAGAGACCGCTTTCACGATGCTGTTCAGCAGGTTGAAGCTCACCTCAGTTCAGCCATCGACTTCGGACACCTCTCAAAAGCTTTATTGTTTGGGGAGCTAAATAACACAAATGTTAGACCACAGAGAAACACGTTTTTCATGTTTACATAACTGTGCAATCATTTACAAATGCATGTCTCCTTTTAACAAGGGTGGTTCAAAAGGATTCGGAAAAGGTCTGCTTAAATATTTCGTGTGATTTCTCAAAAAAACGTGGTCATTTAAAAATAGGTTTTACCTCTTTGCTGTACATCTTTTGACTATAGGTTTCGTCCCACAAGGAAAAGCTATGTTTCCCTCTCTTTCTTTCTTAAGTGGATGTTTTGATGGCTCTTCCTTCCGTGGACTTATTCGTTGACATAGGATGTACTTACTGTAAGATAGAAAGGCATCTCTGAGGCAAAGATGAATGATTGATTGGGACAAGGGTACAATGTTGAGTTTTTAGAGCTCTAAAAGGCCTATACAGTCTGACTAGCAGAACAAAATTTGTTTTAATCATTTAATGTCTTAATTTAATGTTTTATATATTTAATATAACCGAGGCAGTATTGATCTTAACTTAAATATGATCTTAACTTTTGATAACTGTGTTTCTGGTCAGATATTTTATTTGAAAGCAAAACAGCAGCAACAGCAACAAACACTGCTGCCACCTGAGAGCCCCACTAACTTCGGTAACTGTTGGGCTCTGGCTCTGGAAAAGGCCTTCGGATAATCCTAACGCACCAGCATTCCAAGTCAACAACGATAGGACACAATATAAAAATGTCGTTTTATAAGATCTGATGATACGTGTGTGTGTTCTCCGAACAGCTGAGGAAGTCACCGATCTGAAGAGGCAAGCGGTTGAAGAGATGATGGATAGGATTAAAAAAGGAGTTCATCTTCGACCGGTTAATCAGACCACGCGACCGAAGGCAAAGGTATGGCAGGGTTTGGTGCCGGCTCCTGTTCTTTGCGGTTTCTTTGGTGTTATTATTTTTTTAATATATGAATTAGAAATTTGATGAAATCTACATCCAGACTGATTGTCAACAGTGACTTATCATTAGTCTCCCTGAAGTCATTTCCAGGAAAACATTCCAGAGACATGTCTCATCAACTCTCCTACGTTAGACCCCATTGGGGTCTCCAGGATCTGTTGAGGCTCCCCGACTCCAGCTCAGTCTTCCCTTTTCTGTGTGTGCCCCATTGAAATAGACCCCAAAGCTGAGTTTTGTACATTTTACTCGAAAAATGTGTATCCATCGTCGTCCTGTGCCACGTCCCACTGCCTACCATTAATTAGTAACTGCAGACTGGCTCTTTTTCTCATTTCTCTCTTTCAAAGCCTCAAGTTCATTGATTCTTTGTGAATCTCATGGTGGTCCCTCTTGTTCAACTGCTTGAGTGGCCCCACATTGCAGGCCTGTTCAGTGCCAATTCCTCTAGACCCTAAGAGTTTCACTTTGTCGTAGGCAGACAGGGTGTGCAGAGTGGCTGTGGTGGGGGCCTGCATGGAGTTGGGGATGGCAAGGGAGGGGAGAGAATCCTTCTGCACTGCAAGAGTCGATTGCAGGGAGTAGAATGGAAGTTGTGGATAACCATGCCAGAGTAGTTTGGGGCCAGCCATCTGAGAGCTTCTCAGTAAAGGGTGGCATGTAAGCTAAGAGACTCTCAGTCTCTGAGCCCACCTGGCAAAGCTGTTTGAAAGCTGGGGTCTGTCTGGTGGGTGGGTTAGGAGCAGTGATGTTGGTGGGTGGGCCCTGGCAACCACCACTCAGCCCCCCAGACTTTCTCCCCATAAAATGGGCATCACGGCCCTGCATTGCAGGGTCATCAGGACCCCGTAGAAAAAAAGGATGGAAGAGCCCTTGAACACGCAGTGTCTAAACAGAACCTTTGCAAAGAGCTCGTTTTTAAGACTCTCATGTCATGCCCACTAGGGAAAGGATAAGCAAAGCCCAGCTATTACTGGAGAAAGTGGCAGTGCCATCAAGAAACGGGACATTTGCTTAGGGGGACAAAGGAAACGTTTAAAATTTCTTAAATCGTGAGCAGTCGATGGTCTGTGCTGCTTTTCATTTTCCAGCTTATCACTCTGTCCTGTTTCTCTCTTCCCATGACTCTTCCAACAGTTACCTAGTCTTTAATGTCAATTCCAAAATCTGGAAAGCAATTCCAAAATCTGAACAAGGATCAGCGGATCACTGGGTGTTTCTCGGGTAATCATTAGCCTCCCTATACCCGGTCTGCACACCTTTGCAGCACACGGTCCTTGCATGCTGAGTGTACACAGCCTCCCCTCCTTCACCATTCTTGCTTCCTGGAAATGGCACAAGATAGGAAAGCGGACAGTCCAGGACCCCGAGGGCTTTTGCATTCCCAGGGCTGCTTGGGTGGCATGGCAGACTTTGGGGTATGCCTTTCAGCAGGGCATCTGTTGCCACCCACACATTTGACCTGCAGAAGTCAAACCTGCCTTGAAGACACTAGTGGAACGATGTTCTTTTTTCCTTTCTCTCAGTTCCTTGTTGCTGCTGCTGCTGCTGGTGTGGTTCACATGAAGTGCCCCACAGCTTATAACTGACGCTAGTGGCTTGTATATTCACAGAGAACCTGTGCTATGAAAGTGGAATGCTTTAGTCTAAGTTGACATGGGCAGCAAACCTCTCTCTCTCTCTCTGTATATATATTTTAGAAATTGAAATGGGAACCTATTCTTCTGTTACCGATTGAGAGGGAGGGATTGAACACTGGTATCGATGGGAGAGAAATCACCTGACTACTGTTTCAGGAATAAGTCCCTTCACTGTGTCTCTCGAGATTTCTCTTCCCATCTGCCTTTTATAGAAAGAAGTGGTGCAGGGGAGGTCAGAGGTCATTGTAGGTCTTCTTAGGAGGGCCTCAGGCCAAGTTATTCTTCGGCCTGTTGAGAAATCCCACGAGACCGTTAGAGATTTTGGGGTGGGCGGGCAGGCAGGTAGATAGAACCCACAGCTGTATTTTAGACTCCTCTGTTC